GGAGTCCTTTACTAGAAACTAATTAATTTGCCCACAGATGTCCGCTTAAATGGTAGAGGGATATAACCCAGGGTTTGGGTTTTCGAGTCTGGCCGACATTCAAGTCATTTTTTCGGACCTTATTTTTATCGGGCCGACCCGACCGAGTCTTTTTCAGGCCAAAATTCGATGCCCGATTCGATCTTTTGGGCCGGACCGGACCTTCAACCCTTGAGTTAACCCACAATTACCTTTTCTTTTTAGTCAAAAAATTAAAAAAAATTTTTTCAGGTGCCTAAAACGTCTAAAAATGCTTGACTTGCGTGAAAATAAAATAACAGAATTGCCAACTGTAATGTCTGAAATGAAATGCCTTTCTATTTTATTGCTTTCTTCGAATCATTTAAAAGCTATACCTGAAGGTTTTCTTTTAATTTAAAAAAATCTTGAAAAAAATTTTTTTTAAAGAAATTGGGCAATGTTCACAATTAACACAGCTAGATTTACAACACAATGAACTTGTTAAATTGCCAGAAAATATTGGTTTCTTTTTTAAAATAATTTTTTAAATTCTCTCTTGTCCAGTTTAAGCGTCTCTAAATTTGTTTGTTGGTTTTTCTTTGAGTTTCAAAGTTGAATTTCTATTCATTAATGTTTTTTGTATTCGGGATTACGACAGTGGGCCTAGAACCATCCCAAGGGCGTCACGGATTAACAGGGTTGCCACGGGTTACTCGAAGCCTGAACTCGACCCGATTTCTTCCCTTTTAAGAGCTTAATAACTGGCTCGACTTTTTCTCTCGACTCATGACATCTGGTATCCAATGACTGGATTTTAGCGAGTTTATAATGGAGCATTTATCAATCTTTTCCTTGAATTTTACTGTGGGACTCACAAACTGGAAAAGAGCCAAATTTTTCAGTAAAAATTATATTTTTATTTCTTTTTTTAAAGGTTTATTAAATTCTCTTAAACGACTTGGTATTCGTTACAATCATTTAACTGAATTGCCTAATTTATTATCACAATGTACTTTAATTGATGAATTTGTTGTTGAAAGTAATAAACTTCAAGCTTTGCCTGTAAGAAGAAAATTTTTTTGATTTTTTTAAAATTTTTTGAATTTTAAGGATGGAATTCTCGCTTCATTTCCAAATTTAAAAAATATTAATTTGAGTAGAAATCAATTAAATGCTTTGCCACAAGGAGGGTATGAAATGGCTGTGGTAAGGAAAATTTTTAAAAATATTTTTTTTATTTGTGGTCTATAATCAAAATAATTTAACCAATAAATTGATTGGATGTCCTATATTCTCTTTAAATTTGGGACCTTTTTTAAATTTCTCATTAAAAAATTTTTTTAAAAATAGATGGAAAATGTCTCTTTTATGCTACGCTTACATAAAAATCGCGCGCGACACGCGACAGAAAAGATAATGGAAAAAGAGGAGAGAAAAGTCGCCGGCGATTTTGTCGCTTTTTTTGCGTGCTTACATAAAAAGCGACTTCCGCCGGCGACTTGTCGCGCGCGACTTTGTCGCTTTTTTGAGTGCTTACATAAACCGCGACTTCCGCCGGCGACATGTCGCGCGCGATTTTGTCGCTTTTTCGTGTGCTTACATAAAATGCGATTTCCGCCGGCGACATGTCGCCGGCGACACTTTTTTTGATTCAAACATGTTTGAATTTTTGGCGACACTTTTTTGCGACATGCTATTTCTCGATCATTTCTGATCCGATTTTCAAACTTTAAAAAGATTCTGAAAGTTCAGTTTATTCTCTATCGATCAATATAAATTTTATATTTTTAAAGTTAAATCTTATGGGTTAAAATTGATTTTGAAAAAGGTATACTTTTTGCAAAAAATATTCTTTTTTTTCGATATTTTTGAGATTTTCGAGATAAAAAAGTATTTATATCATAACTTTTTTATCAATCGGTCAAAAATTCTGATTTTTTTATATGTTGTAGAGCTTTTAATTCTCTAACAAATGATACCAAAAACATGAAAAAGTGACCATTTCTTGATGAGTAGGGCTCGTCACATATAGTTAGGGACAAAAAATTTCGGGGAAAATCGAGGCTTCAAAAAATATTTTTACGACCTAGAGCTTTTAAAAAAATTTTCTTTTGGGCCCATTAAAAAGCCCATAAAATTTGCTACAATTTAGCCTAGGCTTTTATTCTTCCAACAAAAACTCGTGAAGATGAAGGTCCTTTGAAGTCTAATTTTTTGGCATTAATCTACAAAGTTTTAGATGGAAAATCATTTCTTTTTTTTTCGATATTTTTGTATTCCTTTCCTTTTTCTTCAAAAATTTAATATCAAAGTACGCAAATACACTAAATATTTTTCCTGGTTTCCCGGTGAAAAAAAGCCGGGACCGGGTCCCGGACCCGTTCCTAACTCTAATATCAATGGAAAAATTAAAAAAACCCACAATATAAAAGCCACAATAAAATAGTGGCAACGAATTGTCCTATACATTACAGTACTCTGACTTCCACCAACGTGAAAAATGGAGATAAATAAATAAAGAAAATATAGAAGAAAAAGATAGAAAAACTAATAATTTTGTGCTTACATAAAAATCGCGCGCGATTTGCGACGTCGCTAGGCGACATGTCGCCTAGCGACGTCGCTGCTTTGTGCTTACATAAAAATTGCGTTTTGTCGCTTTGCGACAGTCGCTTTTGCGTAAGTCGCCGATTTTATGTAAGCACACAACTAGCGACTGTCGCCGGCGACATGTCGCCTAGCGACTGTCGCGTGTCGCGCGCGATTTTTATGTAAGCGTAGCATTAAGGTCCTTCTTTTGTTTTTTCCAAGCGGGTGCTATAGAAAGACCAACTACCCCTCCCCAAAGAAGGGGTAGAATAATTTTTTGAAAAGTTTTTTGCGCTACAAAGGGAAAAATAATCGTTGTATAATTTTCAATTTAAATTTATTAATTTGACTTCCTCTACCAGAATCCAATTATTTGGTACCCCTCATGTCTCAATGATGGAAAAATTTTATTAAATATTTTTAAATTTATTTTTTTTTTCAGTCAGTCAATGTAGAACACAATAATATAAACAAAATACCTTTTGGTATTTTTGCCAAAGCTGGACAACTTTCAAAGCTTAATTTCAAAGAAAATGAACTTTCTTCGTTTCCACTTGATTTTGGTACTTGGATTACTTTGACAGAATTAAATATGTCAAATAATGATATTCAAGAACTTCCACCAGGTTTTTTTGAGAGGATTTTTAAATTTTTATAGAAGATAAGGACAATTAAAAGGAGGGGGACCTGCTTTCCTCCTTCTCGAACTGGGAAAAATGGAAATCCTTTGGATCACATATAGGCCGGATTACTCAATAACCGACCCTCTGGATTTTTTTCGAGCCGAAATTTCAATCCGAAGCTACCTATCCCCTTGTATCTAAGGAGTAGGGGGCATGCCCCCTCGAAATGAGTGATAAAAATTTTCTGGATGCACTCTTGTTTATACGTCCCATAGAATTTATTATTAGAACTTTCCTTGGGTTACGTAAAATTTCTCTGCTGGTCATGGGTTCGTATAGAATGAAGAAAACCCTCTTTAATTTTTTAAAAATTTTAGATATTGACAAATTAATAAATCTTGAAGTGTTGGTACTTTCTACAAACCGTTTAAAAAAGCTTCCATCACAAATTGGTTCTTTAAGAAAATTAAGAGAGCTTGATTTGGAAGAAAATGAATTGGATGGAATTCCTTCTGATATTGGGTTTTTGACGGCATTAACTAAACTTTGGATTCAAGTAAATAAAAAATTCGGCAGACCTCACTATAAGAGACCCCCAAGATTAGACTTGTTTAGCTACTGGGTGAAGGAAGATACCTAAGCGGTACATTCTATTTAAGGTATACCTCATCATAAGGGAAAAGCGATACCCTCTATTTAATTGATGCCCTCATTGTAATGTACCATTAAGCGATATCCTCTATTTAAGCTACACTCCATTATAGGGGACTATAAAGCGATACCTTCTATTTAGGATACATCTCTTTATAAGAGTCTATTAAGTGATACACCTCATTATAAGATACTATTAAGCGCTAATCTCTATCTAATAAACATCTCATTATAAGAGACGATTTTTCCAGACCCAAGGGGGTATCTCTTATAATAAGACTAACCATTTATTTTCTTTTAACAATTAAAAAAAATTTTTTTCAAGTCAAATCAACTCACTTCTTTGCCTAGAACAATAGGAAATTTATCTAATTTGGTTGATCTAAGAGTTGGAGAAAATCTCATAACTTTCATTCCAGAAGAAATTGGTTTTTACATAATTAAATTAATTTTTAAATTTGAATTTTTTTGCAGGTCATTTAGAGAATCTAAAAAGTCTATATTTAAATGATAATCCAAACTTGAATAGGTAAAAGAAAAATAATTTTTATATGGTCGGACCACACTTTAAGAGATACTCTTTCGCTATTGAATACACTTCTATTTAAGAGACGATTTTTTAAATTTGGTTGGTGATTGGGGGAGAAGCTTCCTATTATGTCCCGGTTCTTACTTATTTAATCTATTTATATTTGTCTCTCAAACTCTTGTTTGAGGTTCTAAACTTTCTTATTAAAACTAATTCAATTCAAATTAATTAAACACAAACTTTCAATAACAAATTTACTTCAAATTAATATAGTTTAGTTCGGAATAACGTAAATTTAATGTGAAACAAATTAATATTTATATGAGTTAGAAAAGGCGGGAGTTGAGTATAGAAATGGACAGACAGTTGTAAAAGTTTGTTTGAAGTTGGAATGGTTAGATAAGGAATGTTTTTGGGGAATATTTTGAAAAGGAAATGTTTAGATAAAAAGGAAGCAGATGTTTGAGGGGAATATTTTAAATTACATAAAGAAATATTTAAAGAGTTTACAATCAAGAAAAGGACGGTTTAAACTAAATTGATAAGGAATATTTGAATTATGGTTTTAGGGAAATAGGAAAACAACATTTATTTAAAATTAAAAGAAATATCAAAATACGGATCCAACACTCCTCCATCCTTTAAGAAGATCAACGGCATTATTAAGTTTATTGCATCGCGAAAGTTATTGTTGTTGGATGGTCGTTGTTATTTTTGTATTCTCCACGACCACGTGGGTAATAATTATGGAAACGGTAACGAGCCAATTCATGGCCTCTCTCACATCAATTGACGTAAAAGGAAAATTAAGCGGGAATCTTGCAGAAGTCTAGGTTGTACATGCCCGCGGCCTCCCCTCCCTTGATTATTATCTCCTCACGGTTGTTATTTTTGCTCTCAACCAACTTCTCCGCTTCTCAAATTTTTGGCGAAATTAAAAAAAAAATTTTTTTTGTATCTCCGCTTTTTCAATATTTTTTTTTACATTAAAGAATTATTTTTTTTCCATTGGTACTTTAATTTTTTAATTTATTTTCGAATTTCTTCAAGATTTGTAGTTGGGAGTGGAGGGTAGTTCTTGTAGTTTATCTCAAACAATTTTCTTTTATTTTCTCTCAACATAAAATAGAGGTGTTTTTTACCGTTTGAAAAGCTGAATTTTATTTCATTTACTAAATTAATTTTTTTTCATATTCTCCCTTCCATTAGGGGCTCTTTTTTTTAGTTTGTTGCCGTTCTTCTTTTGAAGTTTGTTGTTGCTCTTCTTTTGTAAGTTGTTGCTCTCCATATTGATATCGTGTTTTTCAAAAATTTATTGATGAGAAAATATTTTTTTTACAATCCAGAAATAAAATAAACATTGGATAATGATAATGGGCGTTTAAAGGATACAAACAGATTATTAAAAATGTAAAAATGGATATATATTTGATAACATGATAATGGAAAAGGATTATATATATATAGCTACAGAATAGAATTATTTGTATTTATTTACTCTCTCCGTTTTTAAATTTTATTTCTCCTCTTTCAACTTTATTCACGGAGGGCCATCTTTTTGAAAAAGGGATTATATTTTTATTTAACGTACTTTCATTTTCTTTATCTAGCATAAATGGGCTTACAACTCTTATTCTGGGGCTCGGAGTTCTCTCAAAACGCACTCTGCGATTTGGCGATAAATCGTTGTAATTATAATATCTAGTATTGTTTTCTCTCTCCCTACTTCTTGAACTACTGTAATCGTCATAATTTCTGTTCCTATTGTAACCGCGATTTTCTCTTTCATAATTTTCCCTTCTATTTTGCCGATTTTCATGATAATTTCGATAATCCGGTCTATGATATTGATTATTATTACGATAACGATTTTCGCTTCTCCCATAATTTTGAGGCTGGAAACTTCTAGAATTTAACTCGGATTTACGCGAATAACAAAATCTAGCAAAATGGCCTGGTTTCCCGCAGTAATAACACCTTTTATTTTCTTTTCTTTCGCTTTTGTTACCCTGTAACGTCAAAGCCTCAACTTTTTCCGATATACTGCCAATCAAAACATTATTTCCCTTCCTCGCAGAGAGGAGTAGTTCGTAATGCTGCGCTATTTCGTACGCATTAGCATAATCTGCAGGCCTCTGAGCCTTCACTTCGAATTGTAGCTCAGGAACGAGTCGATCCAAAAATTCATCTAGGAGGCGTCTTTTTATCGTATCCTCAGTTTCTCCTGATAGGGCCGTGCGAACTGTATCCGAGAGTCTGTTCGCAAATTCGAAAACTGATTCACCCGGCGCGTGCCTGCAATTAGATAATAATTGCCGCGCAATTACTTTAGTATTACCATTTTCATATTTTCCCTTTAAATATGCTAAAGCCTCCGCTAAAGTCGTAGGTGCGGGATTTATATTGTCGAATGCTACTCTCGCTTGACCGGACAGACAAAAACGCAAACGGGCCAATTTTTGCACTTCGGTAGGCTCGGTCATTAACGAAAGTATATCCTTAAATTTCTCCACCCATTTTGTAAAAGATACGGTGGGATTTCCGTCAAAATTTCCAACAAATGCTCCATTACCTAAGAATGGGTCCATAACAGAAATTTCTTGATTATCCTCCTCATTTTCCAATTCATTGCCTCGTATAGTTTCATCAGTCTCATTAATTGAGCTATCCGACTCATTAATGGATTCGTCTTCTAATTCATTAAAATCTTCCAATACTTTATTTTGTGGCAATTTTCCCATTTTTTCTTCAAACTTTAATTTAAATTCATTTAAATTATTTCTTAATTTAGTGACAGAACTTTTTGTTCCTGTCAAACTGTCTTTATTTTTCTTCATATTTTCTTCAATTAGATCGAGTCTTCCTTCCACTTGACGAAAGCTTTTCGCCACCGTTTTTTCGAAGGAGCGTAATTGAGTAAGTAAAGTTTCAAAAGTTTTATTCTCCTCAGGTGAAAAAAGATGAGGGACAAAGTCTGAACCAGACATTATTATTAGTATTTTAATCTAAATCTAAAATTTCTTGCACACAGCAGATTTGGATTTGGCACACAGCCTCTTTTAAATGCACACAGCCGTCTTATAGACGAAATTAAATTCTGAATTTCACACAGAAATTCAATGCACACAGCGAGTCTCACACAGAGATCTCAAAAAGCACACAGCGAGTTTTCACACAGAAAACCCAAAAATGCACACAGCAGGATTTCACACAGAAATCCTAAAAATTATTTTTCTTTAAAGCACACAGCTAAGATATTTCACACAGAAATATCCTTCTTTTAATTTATTTTAATTTTTTTTAGATCTCCGTTAATCGCAACGGGTTCGTGGCACCAATATTATGTCCCGGTTCTTACTTATTTAATCTATTTATATTTGTCTCTCAAACTCTTGTTTGAGGTTCTAAACTTTCTTATTAAAACTAATTCAATTCAAATTAATTAAACACAAACTTTCAATAACAAATTTACTTCAAATTAATATAGTTTAGTTCGGAATAACGTAAATTTAATGTGAAACAAATTAATATTTATATGAGTTAGAAAAGGCGGGAGTTGAGTATAGAAATGGACAGACAGTTGTAAAAGTTTGTTTGAAGTTGGAATGGTTAGATAAGGAATGTTTTTGGGGAATATTTTGAAAAGGAAATGTTTAGATAAAAAGGAAGCAGATGTTTGAGGGGAATATTTTAAATTACATAAAGAAATATTTAAAGAGTTTACAATCAAGAAAAGGACGGTTTAAACTAAATTGATAAGGAATATTTGAATTATGGTTTTAGGGAAATAGGAAAACAACATTTATTTAAAATTAAAAGAAATATCAAAATACGGATCCAACACTTCCTAAACGATACCCCCTATTTAAGACACTCTCAATATAAGATGCCTCACACATTTAAACTTTGATTGGCCATAACTCGGCCCAAAGTCATTTTGCAAAAAATGGTCATCACTTCACAATAGGAAGTCGAGTGTCCTCTATCGAATGTTACCAAAAAATATATCAAATTCACACTGATAGTAGACGATGTTCCCTTGTCAGTTGGACGTCAAGGGATTTTTTATTATAACTCGTTTTTGATGGACATCCACCTCTATTTAAGGAACCCCTCATTATTTTATATCGAGGTCCAACCTATTATTAGTTAAACAATCTTATCTTAATTATTTTTTAAGTTTGCCTTTTGAATTGGTGCTTTGTTCCTCACTAGAAATAATGTCAATTGAACGTTGTCCACTTACACATATTCCTGCTGGTAAATTAAAAAAAAAATTTTTTTAATAATAAAAATTTTTTTTAAATAAGATATTACTGAAGGAGGCCCTTCACTTGTAATTCAATATTTAAAAATGCACGGTCCATATAGAGGAGTGCTCAATATTTAATTATAATTGTTTTTTGATGTCAAAAAAATTTCTTTTTGTTGCTTTTGTTTCTTCCTGTGCCGTTTCTTTTAACTTTCTTGCCCGTCCATTTTTTAGAGAATCTTTTAATGTTTTAATCTTTTACTCTTAAAAATGATCCAAAAAATATGCATTATGTGCACACAAAATAATTTTTTTAAATATACTACCAAATAAAATTTTTTTATTTTTTGTTATAATGAAACGTAAAAGTCATGTGAATCTAGAACTAAGTAAGTCAGGGATGGGCTAGGTTATCTGAAACCCGGACTTTTTCAATTCGAAACCTAAGCAATCTTCAATACACAGCTTTTGTAAGAGCTTTGGTTAAAGAGCAACTTTTGTGACAATTTCTAAGACTTCACAAATTCCCCGGAAAAAATATTTAATGTTGTAAAAGTTATTCTTCCGCTTTAGGATTGGAATGGGTTTAAATTTAACGTTTGGGTGTTTTGTAAATACTATTCTGATTTTTTTGCTTTTTTGGTATTTGCCATAGCTAGGTTATTGTAATTGGGCCAGCAAAAAAATTAAGAATGGATTATCAAGCATGTAAGGGGTTCTGGCAGTTCCTCAGTCTCTTGAAATAAACATTGGATAACATGAGAACAAAAAATGGACTTTTTATGAACCGCCAGCAAAGAAAATTTCTATTCTAATTTTCTTAAAAATTATTTAAGGAAAATTCTAGTTTTCCTTAAGAATTATTCTAATCCTCAAAAATATGTGTTTTTAATGCAAAAAACCTTTAAAAAATTTTATTTTTGCCAATTTCTACTATTTTTTCAATTAAAAAATAAAAGAAAGATCAAAAAAATTAAGTGTGGATAAAGAGCTTATTTTTATATATAGAGCAATAATTGAGTAGAAAAGAGGCGAAAGTCAATTTTAAATATAAGCAGAAAAACGGTGCATTTTCATATAAAAAAAACATATATAAAATGTTACCAAAGCAATTTTTAGGCAACAAAAATTATTACGACACCACAATAAGGAAAAAAACATGTCAAAATTTTTTTTTACTATTTTTTTTATTGAGAGTCGAATTTTTTAAAGTACACTGCATGGCTTCTTCTTCTTTTTCTTTTGCTGAAGAGCAGCTTTTGTGGCCATTTCGAAGACTTCACGAATTCCCTGAAAAATAATAATTTTAAAAAGTTTTTCTTCAAATTAAGACTCCTGGGGAAATAAATTCGCTGTCTAGGTGGTTGTCAGATGTTAAAAAATTTTTTAGAAATCGTGTTGGACCCAAGTTTTATTGTACTACTTGCAAAAGGATTCTAGCCCTTGAGATAAACACAGACCTAGTTAGAGACTAGACAAGTAATCTTCTCAAGGTTAACATAGAGACCATGGCTTTTTATCTTTTTTGGTTCCATTGAATAGAGAATGACAGTAGATAAACTACTGACATAGCTAGATTATTTTCAAGCCCGGAGCCAGGAGGTAGGTACTACTTAAGGTCAAAGTCAGCCCCCTTGTAAATACAATAATAACGCCGTAGAAAGGCAAATCCCCCCAACTGTTTCCCAAAATATAAAAAATACAAAAAAACCTCTTTCGTCTTCGCACTGCATTCAAG